TGATGTAATTCAAATGAATTTTGTAGTCAGAATCAAGGCCTATTCCAAGGACTTGAGAGTTGTCTTGCCAGACCAGTGTGTTCAGGATAAAACTTTGTGCCTTCAATGTAAATGTTTGCTGCTATCAGAATGGGAGCAGTGAAATACTATATTACTCTTGGTAATACTGGTTTTGAACTAGTATTCAAGGAGAGATAATAGCTTTAGAGTCTTATAATGAGAAAAAGATAAGCAAAGAAGAACAGCTGTCTTCTGAGGCCTCTTGTTATATAGCACTGGAATACAGTGGAGTATTTTATTGTACGTATCTGTCAAAAAAAAACCCAAAAAACCTAAAATTCAGTGTGAAATTTGACGCAGCAGTATATAAGACATGAAGTAGTCTCAGAAAAGCTGACGCAGATGAAAATCTCAGTGTTGAAAAATAGTTTTCCTTTTAAAGATGAGTAAAGATGGCAACCTCATCTTGGGATAACTATAAGGAGAGAGGTAGTGCTAAAACAGTTTTGTCCAAAACTGGTAAAATTGTCAGCACTGTTGTACGTTTATGGTTTATGCTTTACTTTGAAACAATTAATTAATATTTCTCTAACACTTAGAGTACTAGTTTGTTGCAGTTAGAACTTTTCCTTCCTTGCAAAAAATGGGAGATAAATTGATTCCTTTTCAGCTGTTACAAAATATTATGTATGGTAAATAAAAGTAATCACGGGCTGAGATGCATAAAATGGCCCACTGGATAGCTTATCTAGGCAACGAGCTGCATTCTGATGCTATGTGTAGAATCTGATCTAAAGATTAAAAAAAAAAATCCATCAACATCTGTGGTATTTCAAAAGGAATACAGTAGAAATAACTAAAACTATAGTTAAGTAGCCTTCCTAGATCAACTGCTTGTCAGTTGCTAATGAGATCAGATTAGTTAGTAATTAGATTAGCACTTCATCAGCTAGTCAGTTAGTGAATGTTGTATCCGCTGACTTTGTTGAAAGAAAAATCTGATTACCAAATTGAAGAGACTGGTGAAATATGCCTAGTATATTCTCACTATGAGATGGCACACTGTCTGTTTCAAATTTAAAAGCATTAGAGATGCTTTTATAGAGAGATCTGCAAGATAAGAACTAGGCGAATTAAAGACTTTATCAAGTATTGATCTCAGGAAGATGCAAAATCTTGAAGATGTTTCCAGCATTATTTCATGACTCTCTAAAACAATGTCAGCATGACAAATCTCAACAGGTTCAAAGTACCCTGGGAGAATGAGTGGTTTCAGATCTCTAAAACAGAGGAACTAAGTTGAATCTAGATGCATAAAGAATCCAACTGGTGAGCCACACTGTTTAAAATCACAAAATGATTCAGACCACTTAATGCCTAAGCAATGTGGAAGATCTGCCAATGCAAGACATTTTTCCATTGGTTGGCTCACAGTATCCCAAATAGAGAAAACAATCAGAACATTTGCTACCTAAAGAATACATTCTAACATTCAAAAGGACCAACAAAGACTTGTTTCTTCCAGCAGATGCCAGATGACTTTCTACTGAAATGTCTTTATTTAACACCCTGCAGATTGATGCACAAGAAAAGAAGTTATTCTACCAGTGGCAAAACAGGACAGAAAGTCTCCAGTAGGTCATAAGTGATCATTAAAGCTTCAGAAATTACTTGGGCAAATAGCATGGGTCCCACTGCAAGAAAGTGCTCCTTCCCCCATAGTTAAATGTTCAATTCAAGGGCTGTTATGTAAGGATATGAACATACTTATTTTTCTTAGCTGAGGCAAACATTTCTTGCCACTTTGTGACTGCTGCCTCTACTAGACTGGATTTACAAACACGGAAAATTAGAAAAGTGGTATAATAGGGTATGAGCTGCTCCATTCCATCAGTATGACTTCTACTGACAACACTGCCTTTTTAGGCATACTGAGATTTAGGATTTTTAAGTTAGACCGAAAGAAGAATGATTACTACTGTTTGGATCATTCTTGTTCAGCTTTTTTTTTCTTTCTCTTTTAAAAGAGAAATAATTTCATTTCGCATACAAGTGTACTTGAAACCTTCTCTTGAACTGCTGTAGGTGATGGCATATTATATCTTAGTGCCAAAGGGAATCAGTTCTGTGGTCCTTATGGTATGTTTGTGAATGGTGTTAGCACTGAAGATGGCAAGGCTGCAGTCGACTCTTTCTCAGTACGAGAGTTATTGGTTCATAAAACTGAAGAAATTAATAAAATTCAGCAGGTCTGTTATTTAGTTCACTTTCTTCTGGAAACCCTGAATCTCAGTACATGTTACCTCTGTGAGGCAGTCTTCACTGACTAAAGAGAAGACTTGTCAAGACAAATACAAATTAAACAGTTAAGTACAAATCCAGTGTTAGTGCAAATTGGAAGAAAACATAAGGAGAGAGGAAGAACGTGTTACTTTCAGTGTAATTTAGCTTAGGCTGGACACTAACTTTAAACTGTTCATGTGGAACCATTTGATAAACTTACTGCAGAAACAGTATACCATTTCCACTGAACATAGTAATGATTAACTAGAAATCACTGTATGTAGGTTGCTCCAAAAGTAATGTCTCTGATTTATTTCTGTGGGAACTGCAACAGGTACAAAAAGTAAAATAATGGTGTTGATAGAGTGTTTTGTATCTGAGAATTTACTCTTTTTCAACATGGCCACTACCATTACCTCTGCATTTTTACTAGCAATGAACAAAAGCCTGCATGCTGTGCTCATAAATATCTGCCAGCAAAGGTGATGCACTATTGCCACTGAAATGCAACACTCACTGCCATCCAGTATGTGGCCTCCAGAAAAGTTCAGCAAGCATTGGTGATTGTCAGTGGGTTCAATTTTTTTCCACACAGAGGAATTTAGTTCGAGTTTTTTGCTTCATCTGTACTTCCATGTCAGACATCATTCTGTCTGATTGCCCCTCTGCTGCCATCTGTTGCATGGTAACAAAATGGAATGGAATATTGGTGGGAAGATTCAACCTTAATCATGATACCACTAACATCTGCCTCTGATGTTGTGGGCCAGCATAATAAAGTAGGAAGCATTACTTTCAGAGCAAACCTTGCATGTCAGTTTTCTATATTTTTAGAGAATGAAGTCATTTTTAGATGGATGGATGAATTTGGGACACTGTTGCTTCGTCTTTATCTCTAATTGAGATACTATCACGGATTGTAAGACTCTGGAGTATAATGATTTGTCAGCGCAGGACAGAGTGGACCAATTTAATAGCTGCTGGAGGGGTTAGGATTCCAGCAGCCTTTGATCAAATCCTTTTTAGGTCAGTAACATTTAGAGATGTAGAAAAAAAATCAAGTAATTGGAGAGAGACCAGATGGTTTGTGGCTAATTTGGAAAAGTACAGATTATATTGTTGTGCAGGATCTTATTAAATAAAAAGGTCTTAAGATTTTGTAAGGGATAGATTAATATTGATATCATGTTATTCACACTGTTTAGTGTGCAAACATCATCCATCTTTTTATTTTTCTGCACATGCTCAGTGCTGCCTCTAAAACGACCGTATCAGGAATTAGCATGGTGAGTCAATAGATGATAGCATATCATGTGGTTATTTCTCTTCTACGTTTTCTGTTGTTGAAGAAATATTTACATGTGTGTAAAATCCCAATTCAAATAGTACAGAAGTAACCAAGTGTATGCATATCATGGAAATAATACAGGTGAGTGAAGTGCCATAAGCACAAGCTGATCTTTCTGCACTCCTTACCACTTTTGCGAAGCATTTTACCTTATTTGCACAGGCTCCTACTCACTGCAGTTACACTTATGAAATATATGTTCATTTTTAAGTCTCTTTACTGTTACATGTGCACAAAGATGCACTAGGTAGGAATTAAGCTGTGTGTTTACTTTAAGGGGATAAAGGTAAAATAACATGGATTGAACTGGGTAAATATTACTCATGTTTATTACAGCACTGCCCAGAGGTTGTGAATGAAATTGCTGAATATTTCACAGATAGTACAAGGGGTAACTTCTGCCCCACACAGTTTACAGCAAAAAATAACACTATTTACAGGCTGGGAAGTGACTTTTTAAGAAACCTTTTTGTGGGAACGGTAGAATACAGAATAAGAGCATGTCTGCTGCCTGAGTCTTGGGATCATACTATCTCAAAAAAGAACAATCTACATGTCCCAGTGCTCATATACATGTGCTGTAAGATATGTTTTAAAAACACTTAATACGTTAAATATATTTATAGGTTTACATATGTATAATTTTGCAGATATATCAAGATGTCTTTATAAATTGTTAGTACTACTTTGCGACTGTTATTGGGCTTTTATTGGTTCTTATTATCTCACTTAGTGTTCCTAATGCCTTAACCATGATTAACAGATTCAAACTTTACATCATCTTGCTATCATTTGCTGGCACACACTTGAGTACATTATCAGAGATTTTTGAAGAATCCTTTATTTGGCAGAGATGTTTGGATACACTTGTTTGGAACTGAAAGGTACAAAATAGATGGTCAGCTCTGGAGGGAATCCTCCAGTGAGGGAATAGCTTAAGGAAAACATTGCCAAACAAGCAAAGATTTGCTGAGAGGTTTTCAGAATAACATTCTTGACTTGGAGCCCATTATCTAACAGATGTGTATTGATTTAATAAGCCTCCCTACTGTTTCACTATAAGTACTTAGTTCTCTCATCTTCAGTGCTGTATGTGGAGCAGGAACTTATTAATAAAAAGTCTGTAATTCCAGCAAGATGTGTCGGTGCCCGTATTTATCAAGGACAGCTAAGTATTTTAAAGGTAACTAAAGCTGCTTTTTTGTTTTGTTTTGTGTTTTAAATTGGGATGCTGTTGCTAGGTCCCTCAGCTGGAAGTAGTACCTGATGTATACATTTCTGTGTCTTTATTTGACAGAAGAATTGTATTACAAGCTATATCATTGATATCATTGACTCTTTTTTTTTTTTTTTTTTTTTTTTTTTTTCCCAGGATGCCTCAAAATAATCGTACAAAATAATATCTTGCTCTGGCTGTACAAGTAAGGAACTGACATCTGGCAACTGTCAAGCTGTTACTTCATTCTCGCTTTTTTTTCTTGCTGATGTTTACTAACTGTACAGAATCTATGTTATTTTTAATACTACAGGCTTCATTTGCCATCTGAAAGGTTTAATACCACTAGTTTCTGGTGAATAGAAAAACATGCAATTATATGGCATATCTCACTGCTTTGTGGAAGAAATGACAGAATAGAATGGCATCAGTGCATTAACTCAATGTCCTACCTAGACTCTAGTTGTACTTGTTTGTAACACTGAAGCTGTTGGTAGCCTCTGCCTAGATTGACATAAAGACTCATAATGCAGATGATAGTGAAGCACAAATAGAGGCATCCAGTAGTACAGGACTGTCACAGATGTGACAACTGCTTACCTCCGCTCTGGAAAGTGGTTCCCTTAGGAAGAAGGAAAAAGTCCAGCCAGTTTCTCTGCTTCTCCCCTGTTATTTCTTACTATAGCAAGAGGTGATAATAAAGAGATAAAAAAAAGAGCTGGGATTTGGTGCAAAACCTGCTGAAAGAAATGCAGAAGTGGCAAGGAAGAGGGAGAGCGCTCTGCCACTGAAAATATCTGTAAGGTTTAGCAAATGCTGCTGCATTGGAATGCAGCTGCCTGCCACAGAACTGGGCACAGAATGTGATGTACAGCTTTCTCAACAGTTTTGTGGTGTGCATGAAGGAGTCATCTCCTGCCTACGTACACATGTGCATGCTTCAAATGAAGGTTGTTAGAAGAAGCAGTGACCTTATGTAAAATGAGAATAGCCATTATGTTGCTCAGATTTTGAGTGTGAGTTAGGCTGTGGGTTTACTCTGATACTTTGTGTATTTATTCATCGCTACCAGCATGTTAAAATGAAAAAAAAAAAAAAAATCAGCTGTGTGTTGATAAGCAACTAATGATTTTACGCTGTAGTTTTGTAGCACTAAGCTTCAGGTAGTTTAGAAGAGTCTGCAAGATGGAAAACTAATGGATTTGTCACTTCAGCCTCTTGAAAAGCTGTATTCCCAATGTTTCTACCTGTACGTTGCAAAAGGGAAACATGGAACATTAACAAGTCATATCTGAAAGTCTTAGCCTTCAAATGTTATAGTCTTACAACTGTAAAACAAAACAGCTGTGTATCACTGTAGTGGATATGTTATGAAGTACCATAATCCCATCTTTTTTAGGGTAAGAAATACATGTGTGAGAAGTTCAGCAAGTTCTGAGCATGGGACTTCTTCCATGATCTATTACTACATTCTGCAAAGTTTCAAGTAATTTGCTTTTCTGATTCAAGCAATAAAGCTTTTAACTATAAAATTGATCTCCCCATAAAGTACATGTTGTGTTCTAATACCATAATTACCTACGGCCTGATCTTCCAACCCTTGATGGCATAAGTAATCTTTACTCATCCGTCTAATCTTACTGATTGAATATACAGGAGGTGTTAAGTGAGTACAGCAGGCTGCTACCCAACTTTTCTAAATCATAATTTGTTTTCATATGAATAAGTGATTTAAGTGAAGGGTTAACAGTGCTCTGTCTCTCTTAATTTAAGATTTGGAAGACAATTATAATTCAAAATGCTTCTTCTAGTTGAGACTCCTTAGGAAAAATATATACACTGCCTAGAGCTAGAAGTCCAACTTTGCTTTTAAATGCAAATATTTTAACAAGTATAACACATAGAAGCATGAACTATCAATTATTCCTACTAGGCACATGTAAAACATTTTGTTTATCACAAAGAGGCCAAATTAAGCAAAAAATGTAAAATTAAAATTTGTAATTAAAGTGTTGCCTGTTCTGCTTTAAAACTGCCCGTTGTTCTTATCAGCAGTAGCCTTCAGGTTGTCTTGATGCATTTGAATGGGTCTTTCAATAAGAAAAGTTGAGAACTGCTGGTAGTGGCTCTCTGTGGCAGTTGTTATGCAAGTGAATCTGGCTTGAGTGACCTCTTACTGAGAATGGCGTTAGAACAGTGCATTGTTTACAAACACAAGCCTGTCAGATAAGAGAGAGGACATTAGTTTCCTCTACTTTCATTCCCTAAATGTCTTATCGGTAAGTACAGAATGACAAGAGAGAAACATTCCACCTCAGGTAGAGTGGATTTCCCAGCTAACTTACAGACAGACGAATATAGTCAAAAGTCCATGTAGATTTTGGAAGCTTTAAGTTGAATTTTTTTATTCCAGTTTTAATTGCATCAGTCTGAAGGCAGATCAACTACAAGTTTCAACAAATGTTGTTTTTAATTTTCAGCATGATGTTGTTTCAGCCTAAATCAAACAAACTGCTGTTTATCTCCATCCCCAGGAAGAGTTTGTTTGAGACTGTATCTTTTTTTTGTTGCTGTTTGTGTGTTTGTTTCACCAGGATGCTATTACCTATCTTTCAGAACTGCAACTTTAAAATTATGTCCTCAAGGTGATTTTGTTGCATTCTTTTGAAGACATGATGACTGTTTTACTGACGCTTTTCTGTTCCCAAGGGAAAGCTGATAGTTTTGGACCAGCAAATAATTGTCTTGATCATACCCAAAGTCTCCTCTTCAGGTTTCACAAATGTGTATCCACATGCACAGGATTAATGTGAATGCTGAGTCTCTGTATGGCACAGTCCTGTGATGCGTTCTGAAAACATGTCCTGATCATACAGTTATCTCTGGAAGCATTCAGTGAAGTTAATGTTACATCAGAGCAGCACCCAGCACTTGTTTTTTGTTTTTTTTTTTTTAGATTTGTTCTGTTTTTGTTCTGGTTGTGTTTTTTTTTTTTTTTCTGGAGTGGGGTGGGATTGGGGTAGAGAAGAGGATTTTTAGTTAGTTAGTTTTTAACATGTCCTATGAGCTCTTTTCTACCTTGAAGTCTGAAGTCTCTGGCAGTTAATGGACTGTTCTGTTTTCTTCTCTTTTTACGTTAGTCCTGCTTTTGAGGAGTGATTTTTGAGATCTCTGCAGTCTTGGTCACCACTTTGGTCTACAGCCCCACTGATTTGCTTGGGATGTTATTTTCAGCAGTGTCTCAGTTGCGTTTTAACCTTGGAATTTACAGTGCTTTGTAATGTAATGTATCCTACGTTGACTGGATTGATAGAGACTGTAAAACAGGTAATTATGCAACAACAAATTATGTCCAAGTACTATTATTTAAAGATGCACTGTCTACATTGTTTCACAGTTTCATCTGTCTGTTCTCTTAGATTACTTCTATGCTTTTTACAGTTCTGAGGTTCTATGTGCAAGAATATAAATTTCTTCCACATGTTATTTTGTAATATGCCTTGAAATGAAAGGTAGTTTGTTTGTACAAGGTTGATTTCAGGAAGTTAGAAAATCTTATTTTTTAAAAGCATGTTCATCCTGCTATCACCTAGTTCTGGTTTTTTTTCAACAGCACATGATTTAAGAGACTTGACCCAGCTGCAGTGAGCCTTTTGCTTCAACTCCTTAAGTGCATGAGAATTGCAGTAATGCTTATTTTAGTTAAAATAACAGGTTCTCTTCTGGCTGCTGTATTTAATATATATATATTGAATATATATATATATTTGTATATGTATTTTATATATATATATATAAAAAACACAGATGAGTTGTCAGGGAACCACACATCTCAAGATAGCTGATTACGTTAATTCCATTGTTTTCTGAGTGTTGAATCTAAGCAAGACCATCAATGGTGTAACTGTGTGATATACTGAAATTTTGACATACGCTGAAGAAAATTCATGGCATTGAAATCATCAGATATTTTTTCCTTGTATTAGTTAGTGCTGTTAAATGTTACAGTATATTTCACTTGTTTTTCAGCATTTTTAAGTTATTTCATGGTTGATTGTTGACCATATTTACTATCTGTAGCAGTTGTCACTGGACAGTGCGGAACTTGGCCTTTCAGATGTGACCTGGAAAATGAGTCATTTCTGGCATGAGTAGAAAGGCTGAGTTACTGGGATCATTCACAGTGATACAGGTGAGCACTGATGCATCTTACAGTGAAATTTATTGCTTCTCTCTTAAAGTGATTTTCTTTTATCAGATCAGAGTACTGATTTGACTGAATATTCAGAATAGTGGCATTGCACAATGGGAAGAGCTTCACTGCAGAAGTGTGTTCTGTTTTAAATGAAAACTGAGATGTTCAAGGACAGGTCATATCTATGAGTGGACTTGAAAGGAAAAGTCGTCTGTCCTTGAGATGGTCAGAACTGCATAAACAGTCCTACAAACTTGTACTTTGTGTCAGACTTTTGTACTTTGCTCCATAAATATTCAGTTTGGGCTTGATGAGTCCTGCTTCCTACTCTGTATGCCACTACTCAAAAATAATAGATGAATAAAGAAAGAATTAGAGGAAGTCTTGTGCATTAAACAAACTTATTTGGCCTAGAGTTATTTAAAAATGAAAAGACGTGCAAATTAAATTTTATTCAGGGACCTCCTGTTTAAATGCAGCAATGATATCACTGAACTTGCTCTGAGATTTCTGCATTGTGTTGGAGAAGTGGTGGGCAATGTAGGTGGGCACAACTTGCTGTTTTTCCAGAGGTTTTAAATGTAAACAATGCTTAAAAATGCAACATGGGCACACTGTGATAGTGAACTGGCAGCCTTACTGAGTAAGACTTACAAGTAAGACTTGTAGTTAACTATGTTATCACTGTAACAGCGTAACAAAAACATTACTTCTGTAGACATCCTTTTGTTATTTCAGGTTGAACTTCAGAACTCTGGAAACCATCTTGGAAGAGGTTAAATGATGCCATGAGAAATACTGGCCAGCATACAGCCATTCTAAAAGCTCTGCTTTCTTTAGCCACGAACTCATTTGCTTTGTAGCTTTCTGTTCACTTTCAGTGTCTGATTTCGTAGTCGGTGAAGTTCAACAGCAGAACTCAGACCACATCCTTTGTGCCACTCATACTTCAAAAGGACATGAAATAGCTTTTACATCTCCACCTCCCTACTAAAATCTCTCTTACCTTTTGGTTTCTTGCATTAGAAGGGAAGGAATGTGCCTGAAACAGTCAGTTTTTTTCTTCTTTTCATATTGTTTGATGCATGATGAGCTTGGCTATCTGATCTCATTGTGTTACTGAATATGGCTTCATTAGCCACAAAAAGTGCTATCTACAAGGAAGAAAATATGCCCTCTGCTGACTTCATATGTGGCTAGAATTTAAAAAGCTGCTGTCAGAGTACCACGATGGAACTATTGTTTGCAAATAAAGCAAATTAAAATAAACATCTTTTATCATAAGAAAGCAATTAGTGTTGATTCGCAGCTTTGCTTGGTTTTTCTTTCCTGACCTTGACTACATCGTGATGGTTTTGTGCTTCCTCGGACAGCTTCTACTTGCATCTGCATCGATTAAACCTTGATCTCATTTATTATCTCAGGAAATGGTCTCAAGGTCACAGGGCTGGAAATTTAATTATGGTGGCAGTATATTAAGTGGCACATTTAAAGATGCTGAATCGCAGTAATTAATTTTTTGGATGGTGGTCTCTAGGGAACAGGTTTTCTCCACACTGGGTGTTTAGACATCCATCATGGCCATTCAGCTTGGCAGCTGTCTTTTAGCTTTAAACTGTGTCATTATTCATCTTTTACAGCTGACTTTAAAAACACTAGACAACTATATTCTTTTTTATTGTAATATATGTCAGATGCTTGTATTAAGCTATACTTCACCTTTGCTATAAAACATTAACAGAGGTTGCTAGTAGTTACCTGGCTGGCCTCTAAATTGAGATAACAATTACCCTTCGCTGACATCTAGTGTCAAGGCATGAGATATAGCTGGAGTGCTGAATCCATTGGCCTGGAAATCCTGCACTTCCCCAGTGATTCAAGCTCACCCAAGAAGCTACAGCACTGGACATAATTAGTGGACACGAGGGATTAAGTTGGCACTCAGTGTTGACTTTGTAGCAGCACTAGGTTATTGAATGAAATGCAGCACTGCCAAGGTCTTAAAAATCTTGTAATGTTTAATGAACGAATGGTCATTAAACTTGCTGGATCAAATATTAGGCAAGATGGAACTGGGAGGTATTTAATAAGGAGGTCTGAAAATATGAACTAAATCACATTCACTCATTTAAAAAGCTGGCAAAAGTCCAGTCTATTTCAAAATTCTTCACTGCTGTTTTAAGGTAGATGGTATTGGACTGGGGAGGGAGTACAGTAAGCAGGTTTTAGCTTCTAATGTAACTTCATTGAAAATTTTTCTACTATAAAATTATTTTTCTTGAATGAAATAAGGTTTACATGCTTGCAAATGGATGTTCTCTAGGGACTGTGAAGGCACTAAGGTTCTCATTGTGAGCAATATTCACAGATTGATGTGAGGTCTTGCACACCCTTTGTCAGATTGGATATTTCAGGTCTCTGAGTGACCTAGTCTACAAACATGTTAGTGAAGTTGAATGAATTGCATGTACTATATGGCTACGCATAGCCAACCAAAGCAGAGCAAATCGGGGCTAGCTACACCTCTAACAACAGGATAGTCCAAATGTTTGCGTTCTTGTTACGTGACTTTTTCAATAAATCCCTGTATCCAGAGTCCACTGGATTTTTTTGAAGGAAAGTATGCCACAGTATAAGAAATCAGAGGTAAATGCAGTATTTGAGGGAGATTTATACTTGGAGCTTAGTAAATAATTACCCAAAAATGTAATGAGGGTGTATCAAGCTTGTGTTTTCTTACTTGTGCCTCATTTTAAATAATGTGTGTATGTGAGTATTCACAATGGAATGGAGAGTAATCATATAAAAAGTTCAAATTTTGGGACACAAGGGGAGGAGAGAACATAGCTTACATTACCACTGCCTGAAGAGTGAGTGATGGGTGTGTAATAAATAATCCATAGGTTAGGGTAAGTTTGTGCAAGTGATTAGGCAAGCAGCTGTGCACCATAAGTAGATAAACAGAAAAGAAAATCATTAATGTTAATTTCAGATGAGGTTAATGGTACCATACTAAGTATTCACTGAGAAATGCTTCTTTAGCTGTAGTCCTGATGTACATTACATCCTTATATCTCACTGTCAGATTAAGTCACTGACATTTTTGTTGAAACCAGGAGAGTAAATCTTCCTGCAATTCAGGTGGAATGATGTACTGTTTGGAAAGTTAGCAAAATTAGGCTGTTTCATGTCTATTTACATCAACAAGCTCAATCAAAAATGCTTAGAAGTTCATATCTGGAGGCAATTTTATTTAGAGATTCTAAAGTAAGAGGGACTGCAGGGATAGAAAATGGTTGTGCTTTACCTCTCTTATGTAACAGACCTGCATATGTATGGTCTGTCAGAGTTTTTCCTTCTGAGAATTCAGATTTATAAAAGTAAGCATGAGAGGTTTGGATCCAAGTTCTACTTCATCAGAATCTTCAAATGATTTATCATGGCTTTTTCCCCCATTTTGAACCATCTCTTGTTAGCATTAAACATTGTTGTTCTTTTAATGACTTCTTGCAAATGTAAAATCTTGAGTAAAAGTTTCCTAAAAACATTATTTGAAATAGCTATGTGGATTACTTGCTTCATTTTTCATTTCCTAGTTCTGGATGCCACATAATCTGCATCAGTGTAAGTTTCTTTCATATGAGGTATGCAATAACTGCATTTCTGCATATGAGAACTAGCTTTCAAAACTGTTTCAGTACAGACTCACATAACTGATATCCTCATAACCATCCAGCCTGAACTACTCTCAACTTTCCTAAATGACATTTTATTGGAACTGATTATGATTAGATAAATGGCTGACTTCACTAATGTATAATACATTTTTCAATTATGGAGTATGTATGATAATTTACATTTCTTGTTTGATAGCGTGATATTTATGTGACATTCTGCATGAGATCTGCTGCTGTTCATGTCATGGTCTTCTCTTAAAAAAACCTGACTTTCAGATTCTTTCAATATATTTAATTTTTTTGGATAAAAAAAGATGTTAGAAATCCACCTTAATTCATCATTCAGTGGAATGAAACCTGCCAGTGGCTAAATTCTAGTCCTGGAATTTGTTGCCTTAGGATCCAAGTTCTGTCATCAGCCTAACCGATGCACATAACATAGGCTGGAATAGCAAGATTTAACAAGATTTGTCTGAAAAATCATTGAGAGTCGTATGACTGTAGGATAGTGAAAGCTGCTGCTGGAATGACCCTCTGGACCTCCGTAGCATTGTCACCTGATCAAAATAGGCTCATTTGTGAGATCAGACCAGGTTACTTAGAGCTTTTTCCAGTTGTGTCTTGAAAATGCTTAAGGACTTTCCCAAATCTTTTCACGCTCTTTCTTGTATACATGCGTGCTGTGCTTGTACCATTTCTCAGGTTTTTTTGAAACCTCAGCTGTTTTATTTGTAGGTATCAGGGATCCTGCGTGTCAAGCAAGGTGAATGAAGCCTGTCAAGGCACTTGCTGAGTGGGGTAACTATCCATGTGCATGCTGTTGCAATCGAGATTTGTGATCTGAATCTGACTACTTCTTTCTAACTTACCTCATTACCTTTTAGTAGCAAACTACTGAAAGTGCAGGAATCTGATTATGAAAAATCAACTACCATGTAGAAATAGACTACACAGTTAAACTGAATGGAGTAGAGCAGCTACGTATGAGCTTGCAAAACCTAACCATGATTCTCTCTTTTTTTTTTTATAAGAGCACCACTTGCAATTTAAATCAAAATATATTCTGATTAAGACTAATTTCAGTGCTTTTTTTCCTTGAATTTGAGTAGCCAAGAGTGTGTTTGTTCCAAAACTGCCTTAATACAGATAAACATAAAAACATTTGTATTTGATTCATATTGAGTTTCTTGTACAGAAAAAAGAAACAAACACAAACAGGAATATTCCCTAGAAGTAAATAGTTCAACTTAAAACTGATACAAGTTTGAGGAATGCTGAGTTCACAGAATGCATTATTAACAGATAGGCATCCACGCTGGTTGAGACACAGGTAGTTCTGTATCAGGTTAATAATTTGGTGTCAATGGGCATGGCCCATTTTACTTTCATTTAAAATCATGATGCGTTCATGAATCAGTGGCAGAGCTTTTCTTAGATTAAAACAATCTGTTAAAGCAATTGGTTAAAATCTTTCTTGACTGCAGGACTGATGACTTCTGTTTCTCATCTAAATTGGTGTATGCATGTATATATACATATATGTATGTGTATATACATTAGATTTTAAACAGAAGGATGAGGATTTTAGTATCTTTTTTAGATTCCCTTTCACAGTTTTTGAAGTGTGATTGTTTTACTCCATCAACTTTAATTTTGTTTTGTGACTCCGTAAGTACTTCCCAGGGAGTAGCCAAAAAGAAATCTCCTTCCAATTAAAATTATTGAATCCAGGTACGATCATGCAAATAGCCAGGCAGAATTTATTTAACCTTGATTAGGCCAGCTGCCTAATCAAGTTGAAATTATTGATAGCCCATCAGCAGTGATCAAGATGGAGAGGCTAAATGAAGAGGTGCCTTTTCTTCTTCTCAGCTCTTCCACTCCTGTTTTTTTTTAATAAGAGAACCATTGAACTGGTAACAAGACTTGAAATGCCGTGTCAGCTCAGCTAGCGTGGTCAAGGAGCTCAGCTGTAGAAGGGAAATAAAACTGTTAAGTTATGGCTGCCCTCCAATCAGTCACAGGGGTAATGATGTTTGGCTTTAGTCAGGTTATATGTCAGTAAATATACATCTCTCAGACAGCCTTTAAGACAGCCTTAAGCTCATGCTTATTGTTTTATATAGATAGGGGTCGGATGCTGATATATGGTGGTCATAGGCCACTGATATAAATTTCACAACATTCAGCAGGTAAAGTTAATCTCAATAGAACAGAATGTGACTGCAGTTTTGATAGAATATGCATTCCATCAACAGTGATGGGGCATTTGTTCTCTTTTATGCTATCTAAGTTAAGATGATCTTTTTCCCCTGCTCGAAGTAACCGGTTACACTGAGTTTTTAACGTAAGGCCTTGACAAGTTCAAAATTCCGGCTTATAACATCATTGATGAACTGTATTCTGCTCCCTTGTTCTCTTTACAGGAACCTATGAGTCCAATTCAAAGGTAACGAGACCTCAGAGTTCCATTTTTGTCCAAGTGCTGGAAAACACAAATGTCAACTTTTTCACATGTAGAGTGATTGTGTGAACTCTTTTTTCAAGACTTAAGGATTGAGACAAGACAATACAAACGCAAACATTCTAGACATTCCACTTAAGATCACTGCTAAAGAATCTGTGTCTATTTGCAAGTACAGGATTATGCCTTCTATTACTGTAGATTTACATTAGTTAGTTAGGAGGTCCCATTACTCCAGCCTCTGCTCTTACTAGTATTCCTTATTACCATTCTGCACAGTGAGGAAATGCAGAAATACAGCCTACAGGCATGTGACTGCATGCTCCTTTCATGTGTAGTCAATACAACGAGACTAGAAATAAAGTCATAAATAGTATTTTCTTAATAATCAAAACTTGCTTTGAGACTTAGCGTGTAATGTAGTGTTCATTTTTTGGTTAGCAAAAATTTGTCTTTAAGTGTAGGTTTAAACTACAGCATCAAGCTGTCATATGGTATAGCAAACTTTAATCCAGACCAAATAACAAAACTGGACCAGAATAACAAAACTGTTTCAGCTCAATGTAGTAGGATTTATACAGACCAGTGACTTAACTCTGAAGTTTTATTCTGTGTCCTAATTGTCCAATGGAGAATTTGACTGGGTAAAGAACATGACTGGAAAAACAATAGGTAATGTCCAGGACTGCAGGCAGAAGATTTGTAAGAAGTGGATTGTATATCAACTTCAAATATAAAGCTTTAAAGAAAAAAGAAAAACAATAGAAAAAAAGTTCTTGTAGTCCTTATTATAGTACAGTAATGTCACTCAAAGTCCTCAGGCTATGTACTAATTTGGAAAAAAAAAAAAAAAAAAGAATTCTGATTATAACAAAATATTTATGTACTTATTTGATCACCAATGAACAGTAGCACAAAAATAATTACGAAGTCCATCCTCAGCTGAACACTACTGAAAGCATAAAGTTTAGTCTTTAAGCTAGCAAGCCTAGTTGATAAACCATATCTATACTAGAAAACACAGAGCTGATACAGGAAGGGAAGGAGAGGCACTGGGAGAAAGGAAGAAGGAACCGCCTGCTCAGCTGAGAATTAACATACAGCTCGGAGGAAAAGAAATGGTGGCTGCAGCAAAGAGCAACATTTATTTGTATTTTAATAAATTGCCCCCTATGTAGAACCTACTTGAACTTGAACTGGAGGGCTATCTTGCTTATTCAACAAGCATGACTATTACTTCAGCTGCTGAAAACTGATCTACCGTAACACAATTCCTCACACTGTGGAGCCTAGTGCCAGGCATCACCTAATACTTGATTTTACTACTTTTAGAGCTGACAAAGGTCCCGATGGACAATGAGCTACAGGTGACTGAGCAGCGGGCCCTGAGAACAACTGTCTCCATCATCCTGGCTGCCCAGGTAGCACTGCTGCATGGAGTTCTATGAGTGCCCCAGATGAATAGTCCTTTAACAATGAAAAAACAAAACCACACCAGAGATCCAGGTAAGCCCAGCTTCGTTGCCACTGAAAGCATGGCAGAAACGTTTTTATACTTAAGAGTGACTTAATTTTAGGAAGTGGATGAGAATTCAGTTTATAAATGAGGCTGAAATTAAGACTTTGTAATACTTCTGCTTGTCTGATTATAAGCATACATATACTGGTCACAGTGTTTAATTAAATAAGCAAAAATTTGTTTTTCTGACTTAAAATCTGGATTACTTCTTCGAAAACTCTGGCCTGCAGTTTGTGGTACAGCTGATTTCACTGGAGGACTTAGTACAATAAGAGATAAAAAATTTGCCTAATATTATCTTCCAAAAGAAGAGGCAAGCTTCTCAGCTTTTATAGCGTTGCTCTTCCATACGCATTCTGTCTCTTGCACTCTAACACCTGAAAGCTGCCTGCTAAGCCCCAAAGCGGGTGGTACAGATGGCATAGGGGATATTGAGCTCTGAGTTTTATCATGCTCTTTTACAAGCATTTTACAGAATCATAGCATCACCAGCATTGGGAAAGGCTTCTCAGATCATCCAGTCCAACCGTCCACCTATCAGGAATATTTCTCACTAAACCATATCCCTCAGTACAACATCTCAACATTTCTTGAACACCTCCAGGGGCAGTGACTCCACCACCTCCCTGCACAGCCCGTTCCGGTGCCTGACCACTCTTTCAGAGAAGAATTTTTCTCCTGACGTCCAACCTGAATCTCTCCTAATGCAACTTGAGGCCATTTCCTCTAGTCCTGCTAGTTACATGGGAAAAGAGGCTGACCCCCAGCTCAGTACAATCTCCCTTCACTTGTATACAGCAATAAGGTCTCCCCTGAGCCTCCTCTTCTTCAGACTGAACAATCCCAGAGGGGATTTCCAGTGGAGTCTATTTAAATTTAGCCTAAAATTCCCTAAGAACATTGGAATTTGACCTAAAATTTCATTAACTAAGACCTTCAAATTTTGCATGAACAAAAATCTCTAAGATTATTTATCTCTTAAGCACAAGGCAGAATTCCTTGTAATTGCATCAAACAACTCTGCTAATAACCTATCCATATTTCCTACCACAAATACCCCAGATCTTAATAATTTTTTTGCAGCTGGCAAAGGATGAAATGATGATGACATTAACTGTGAAGTTCTCCAGTGACTGATAGTGGTCCTGACCTGATAGAAAGATGCATCAGTTTATATGTACATGGTTAAGTGTGTCTTCAAGCATAGCTATAATTCCACTAAAATGGTTATGTAAAATGAAAGCAGGCTAGAGGATTTCATAAAGAGTAATAACCTCACTTTTTCTTTATTGTTTTCCTTTTATGTCATGTAACTTGAAATAGAAGTGTTTTATTCTAATAGAAGTGTTTTATTCTAATAGCTTTGGCCTGCCTTAAATGGACTAAGAAATCTAGCTACATGATAAATCAGCTGCACTGCTGTAAGGAACATGCCATTACACTTAAAATAAATGCTAGTGCCCAATCCCCAATGTCCGCTATTTTCTCATAATTTAAATTAAATGAAAATATGCTATTCTTCCATTATAAAATATGCAGCATAAGGTGTATCATTGCGTGTTGTAAAGACCCATGTCCACTTGATTTCCACTGAGAAAAAATAGTGAACCAAAAACTTCAAGGGAATTATAACTGTTTTAGTAGTTCATGTATCAATGAACATCTGCTGCTTATGAATATTTGGTGTATTTGCTGCTCCTTAAATTACATCTTACTACTTTACCACTCTTTTGATAATAGCCATTAATTAAAAGTCAGAACTATCCAGCTAATGTTTTAAAATGCATATGGTCAATTATAAAAACAAGTTTTTTTTACACACCTAATAATCAGTTTCAAATGACAAATAATAGTATTTACAAAAGATTCTAGACCACATTAATTCTTTTTGTGTCATTTTTAAAGAAATATATCAAGATTTTAGGCAGAAATAGTTTTCCAATGACCTATGAAACATTCTTCTTTCAACTACTGAAAAATGAAAAAAGATTTTTCATTCCGTGCATCTTTGAGAAATAAGTTTCCCTTTTTATGAATTATGCTTCACATGTAATATTTTTAATAAATAGTTACAGCAATAACAATCCGAATATACATTTTTTTGTTTGATTTCTTTTTTGATACATATCTATAGAATGAACGTTAAGCTTTGATATATGCTGTATCATTGTTCTCATAACTGGTAAAGGAGAGATGACCAAAGCTTTCATATTAGTACCACTTAACAGCTTTGCACTTTTTCTCCTTTGGAAGTTCTGACCTTTGGGGCAAGGGCAGAGAAGGGAGAAAATTAATTTAGAACAGTATGACAAGATATATTTCTTCCCTAAAGGAATTTTTCTTATCAATGTGTTTCAAGTATGTGTATAATATTTAGTTTTCATGTTTATGTTATTTACAAATTAGTTTCCAATTGGAATTAGCACACAAATTGAACAGGCTAATAATCTGAGTCTTACTTAGTCTGACTCCTGCTACCCCATGAAACACACACTGTAGTTCCGGGATCTTATACCTATGTATCATCCATTCATTCCTAATTTCATTCAGTAAGGACAAAATCTGGAAACTCTTACATCCACTGCTCAATTTTCTTTCTGCTTTCTCATTCTAAATCTGCACTACTTATATGTGGTCTTGAGATGAGAGGGCATTTATTAATTGCTTCCAGGAGTCATTGGTTCTTTGGTCCCACAGTTCTCAGCTCAGGGAAGACTTTAGTGTGCCCTTTCCTCAGAGGGATTCTCATAGGGATAGTGGTCAGTGAGGATAATGTTCTTTTGATTTTGTTTCTTGTGATAGTTGGAGCTGGATTTGTTGCTGTTTCTTTAACATGTTTGAAATACACCTTGAATCTGACTTGAGTGCTGGTGGGAGACAGGAGAGCAAGTAGTCTATGCTGCTGTTATTAAGTCACCATTCCTAACACCACTCTGGCATTGTGTATTTGTTTTAGGCTTTTCTTGATGCAGTTTGTTTATATTTTTCCCAGAATTTCTTACGGGAATGCAATCCTGGGGTACAGCAGGCTTACTCAGTCAGAGTACTTGATGACAACCCCTAAGGTACTGTGATACTGTGAATTTCCAAACACCTGATAAACCTGATGATACATAGAAGACTTGATGAGCCTTGAGGTCTATGTGGATGCTTTTACCTTAACCCCTAAAAAAAAAAAAAAGCAAAAAAAAAAAAAAGCACCCTACTGTCAGATCTAAAACATCAAGCGTTTACCTTGTTTAGCAGCTTGGATTCTGGTGAGCATACTGATCCAAACAGAAGCTTGATAGCAGTCTTGACCTATGGGTCAGAACAGAGACAATCAGGTGGCTGCTGATAGTCAGAGAACTTGAAGGATTATTACTTCTCTTTGATGTCCTTTTAAATCTCCATTAAAAACTAACTGAATTGTTGGAGCATATTGACTTCAGTAGGACAGAAGTGAAGGTAACACTGGACAGTTTGCAAAGCTCAAAAACAATTCTGTAGCTATAGGCTATTATTTCTGCTAAAGGAAATTCCTTTGTTTGCCTGAGTTTTTGATTTACCAGCGATTGCAATAATTTTATAAAACAGTAGTTTATAAATGCACAATCTTCCTTGAGAATTTTTGCAATGGATTTTCCATACGGTGTTACTGTAATCGGTAGTTATCAGATCAATATGTGGAGGAAATGTTTTCTCATAGATGCCAGGGTATTGAAACAAAATTATCTCAAATCTGATAAATTTGTCTTTAGATTGTTAGCATTTCTACTGAGAAGTATTTAACAGCAGGTCTTATTTACAGGTAGTAAACTAGGCTCTTTTTAAGGGTTTTTAGAAATGTTCTATGCTCATCCGGTGTTCCTGCCCCAATAACGTTAAGAGGCTCTTGAAAGGTAGACAACTACACTGTATGGATGATGCCAATGTGTAAAATCAAGATGACTGGATTTGTTTCGTATTCCAGGGCATGGGTAAGGTGCAAACAAAAACAACTTATCTGGCTGCAATCAATTTGTTTTTGACAAAAATGTTCCGGATTATTTAATCTATGTTCTATAGCGTGTAATACTTATACATAGCACAGCTAATATTTGCTAAATACTGTTCCAGGTCCTAAGAGAAAATGATCATATCATCAATATAATCGTAACAGACTTTACCTTTTAAACTTGCTAGGAGAATTTTTAAGAAATGTGAAAGAAGTTTTTAATCTTATTTTATTTTATTTTGTTTTGTTTTGTTTTACCTTATTTTTTGAAGTTAGGTAGCATTAACTAGTTATAGTCACTGCAAGACATTCTTTAGTTTTGTTTTCCACCAACTGATTTCCATTCAAACATGCTCTGGGCTTATATGGCACTTTGAAAACAGATTTTCTAAGACGTGTAGTGAATGATGTTTCCTAAGCTTTGCAAGTATCGCTGGCTGAAAAAAATTCCACCTGTTACCAGGAAACCCAAAGTTAATTGGACTCCTTTATACATGAAAATTGAACAAGAACTGCGAATTTGTGCCTATTTGGACTACAAACAACATGAAATGATTCAAATATTTTCCATATAATCACCAGATGTTAACTTGCAGCTAGTAAGGCACATTCCAGGAAAAGACAGGAAATTGCTTAGCCAGGTATTTCAAGCTATGGACTTCTGTTAGTATTTGATTAAGGGCTTTTTAAGAAGAGTGACCCTGATTATCATTCTTATGATTTAAATAAGCTTGGCTGTGCCTGTGCACTTCCTCAACTTGGGGAACAAAGATTCAGTTTTAAAATAAACTTATTAAAGGTTTGTATTTTCCTTGTGCAATATATTAAATTCCTTCCATCAGAGAATGAGAAACATTTTAAACTACTGTTGAAGTTTGTCAGGGTCTGCTGGTATTTTCCTCCTCTTTCCATCCTGGTCAGGTTTAAAATAATATATTAAGTTGTACATCTCTGTATTTTCTCTTTCAAGCATACAGATTCTACAGCTTGCCAATTCTCACTACTCTCCTATTTAATATTTGATCAGTGTGTGGAAAGGCTTTAGTTTGAAGGGAGCATATGAGCAGTAATGACTTTGATTTTTTTTTTTTGTTTTGCTGAAATTTGGTTGTCTCCTAGCATTGCTCTTAAAGCTATGAAACTGCTTCTGTTTCACATTAGTGTGTGTGATGCTGTCTCTTAAAAGCTGTATGTCAGTATTTCCTTATCTGTATTTTTTTACCTGTTCATAATTACCTGTACATTATCATCCTGTCAAAACTCACTTTGCATATTCTAAAAAAGAAAGTTTACCTATTTAAAATTAAATCTAATTAAAATGATGATGTTGTTTAAAAAGAAAAGTCCTTATTTAGGCCATGTCTCTAGCTTAAAGAACAAACAAAAAAGCAACCAGCTTTTGCTACTCTATAATGAATTAAAGTGTTAATTTAAAAAAAGCAAAAACCAACCAAACAAAAGCAAAACCCATAATATGCCTCTGGATCTGATGACTTTTTTTTTTTTTTTACTCTGATACAGCTTATTCCCGTAATAAAACTCCAAGTATTTAAAGAATTCATAAGTACCTTTTAAAGTGCTGTACCTTCATGTGTGCCAGGCACTATAGCTTCAGAAAAAAAAAGTAGTCATGGTAATTCAGTAATTACATAGGTGTGATTGTTCAGTATTGGTTATTCTGTGCTGCTATAGGCTGTAGGAAAACTACACCAGTGTTCACAAAGTGCAAGGCAAGTAATTGAGTAGAACGAAGTGATCTGAGAGCACAGGTTCAAATCTATGCAAAATGAGATCCTAGCAATATCTGTGTGTGGGTTTTTTGGATTAAGTTTTTTGTATTTGCATCATATCTTCACTGAACAAATTTTCAACCCTTGTAAGTCAAAGCATCTATTTCTTATTTTTCTTACTGGCACTTGAAAGCCTGCTCCTTATAACTTTCTCCTGTATCAGCAAAAAGATGTGAAAATATCAGGAAAAAAAGTCTGGGAAAAAAAGTTAGTTAATGCATATCTAGAATTTAGACAGCAAAGACAGTCCTAGGCTCAGAGGACACATCCTATGAAGATGGTAAACTCTGGCATTAAAAGGAGGTACATTGCTGTACAAGTGGAATGTATCAAATATACCAAATAGTGATTGCAGTGAATCCCCTTGCTCAGTTGCAGTTGAAGAACACCATACGATACTGATGATTCTCAATGTGCACTTCCTAGGCTATCTTTGCAATGTGAGAGACCACAAGTAAAATGTGTTTCAGAATGCAATGTGTGATTTTCCTTGTGATGTCTAGTGCCCCTATATTAGGGGATCCTGTGGCTATTGGTACATTTGGCTCTGCGAAAACACTATTTAAACCTTTCAAACCAAGAAGATCTCATGGAGTATTGAAAAACGCATCAAGAAGTAAACTGCAGTGTTTCATCACATGGGCATCGCTGTGCATGTAGCTGATCTGTTGGAGATTAGTGGGATACTCTCATGAAAAAAGGTTTCTGGAACTGACCTGTGTTTTTCTTGCACTTTCTTGCCGAAACACAGAGGTACTTTTATTAATTAAGATGAATTATTCTGTTATTTTCCACAGACAGTTCCTGAAGGCAACTGAAACATTATTTTCTGAGGTATTTGTCTTGCCATATAAAGGTGTTCCATCACTGTCAGAAAAGCTCCCTGTGTAGTTCCCAATGAAGGCTCACAAACATTTAAATCCCATTAGTAGCTCCCCTACTGGAGGGGAAGTTGATTTAATTGGGAGTCAAGACAATATTAAGCCTCGGTTAAAAAGAAAATAATAATCCACAATTTTTTTATTATTATTATTTTTTTTATAAATCAGCTCTGGACCTGAGTGTGACTAACAGGAAGATCTGTCTATAGTGTGATACACTACAAGGGATAATTAAGCCGTAAATTTCATCTTTCTTTGCCAGATAAGAAATGATATTTTTTACCACTCCCCGCCCCAACATTATCCGTACAGACAAACATAATTAAGTAATGGCTGATTTGTTAGCATTTTATTAGATGCGTTTGCAACAGCATTAATAATAATAATAAAATTCACAACAAATATTATAGGTATTGAGATTTTCAGCAGTGGAAAATGTGACTTTCTCAAATCAGATGGGCTGGAAACATACATTCCTACAAATGAACTATTCCTCTGTGCAGAAGAGCAATTGAGATACTTCTGTCTTGGTTGATTTACATACGCTAATTGCTAGTTCCAGTTGCTAGTTCCTACTAAGTACTGAGTTCACCTGCTCCATGAAATTCATAAATTAATGTTTTCAGATAGCAAGTATTGACAAATAGCAGGAAACAGTAAATTCATGCTTGTTTTTAGTGATAAAACTGAATTATTCTTTCATTTAGGAATCTGTTTGCTGCTGTCCAAGTTTGCAAGGTTTTTTAGGAGTATATTAGGTAAATGGATGTCTATGTACATATTTATATAATGGTAAAAGTTTAATGCAGAAAAGATGGAAGTACTAATTCTTTTCTATTCTTTCACAAGTCATGTGATCAGGATGTCTCTAAAGTAACTCACTTATCTGGATGGGAAATAATTATGTTTATATTTTGCTGCTGAAACTTTACAGCAGATTGAATTCTCCACATACAGGACCTACAGGAATAATCCATATTTATGGCCAATGAAGTTCAAAGGAAAATCTGAGCTGGTGTTTGTAAAATTATTTGCAGCTAAACTTCCTCAAAAACCCATTTCACAGCTTAGTTCACTAGCGTATGTCTCATCTGTATCTTAATCAATGCACAGCTGACAAGGCAGAGGACAATATTATAGGCATTGTATGCCTTGCCAGCCTGTGGCAGAGAGAAGCCACAGACTTCAGAGGCAATGCTCAGACGTAGCACAGCTGACATAGCCTGTCCAGGCTCTGCAGCAGTGTGGGTGTGTTTTTGCTTTCTCTCAGGTTTGGTAAAAATCTGTAGTCTAGAAGAGATAATCCTGGAGATCTGAGGCCAACTCATTGCTGGCCTACATTCAAGAACTGTAGAGGGATTCCATATTCTACCTTACTGACGGTGCTGAGGGATTGTTTTGGAAACATTGATGTTTCTCAATTTTAGATGCTCCCTTATCTGAGTTCTGAAGATAACAATTTTCTTTTGTTACAGTGCTGTTTGTCCTTTAAAATGTCCTCATTTAACCCACTCCCACAACCCCCACTAAGACACTACAACAAACCAACCATCATAGTGTCTATCCTTACTTTCAAGGAATATTTGATTCTGTATATATGTATTTTAATTTTACAGAAAATGAAAAAAAAAAAAAGGTTATTAATTACTAGCT